CTGGCTTTTAAGAAAACTAGCAGCAGCTTAGACTTCCCAAAACTAAAATTTTTATTTTTAAAATTAACCTCACTCTTTGATTTATAGACTGTGTTGCAAGAGGAAGACCATCTATAAAGCCAACATGCCAATTTATCTGGGGGCCTAAATTTCTTAATGGCCATTTGCATTTCCTTCATAGGTTCTCTTTAGTTTTCAGTCTTAAAGCAACAAGCATCTTAAAGTGTTCATTACCCAAACTACCCATATTGTCATATACTCTATAAATTTGTTTGGCTTATTGGTGAACATTAAGTCTTTTTATGACCACTGATACTTTGAACTTCCTACCAACATTTCATCAGATGTTGAATCAGTACGGTTCATATCAGTTAGGTATTTGTTTTGTATTTGTTAGCTGATGAAGTCAGTAAGAAAATTCATTGCAGCTCTTCGTAGCAAATTCATTCACTCATTATTTTTCACATCATTAAATTCCATATTCCTGTGGTCAGGTTTCATTGCTACTTGTTCACCTCTTTGTCCTTCATTTTGTAGAATTTCAGGGGATTTTCCTTATCCTATCCAGTCACGTTTGCTTATGTTTACACACCTGAGATCTGTCTCTGAGAAGTCACTTTATAGCAGAATAAATGCATGTGTTTTGATTGTCGTCCTTCCCTGAAGCAGTTGCGTTTTGGCTAAGAAAAAGGTTTTACTGACTAGCAAATTACCTTTAAGATCCCTCTCCATCTCTGAGTCCCTAACTTTTTAGTTAACTTGTGATTTGTCACTCTGTAACATAGGGAAAGTGTGGAGAGCCTGATCCAAAAGCATTCCTATGCCCGCTCACCCATCCGCACCTATGGAGGAGAAGAGGATGTCTTGGGGGATGAGAGTCAGACAACCCCAAATCGAGGTAAGACGGCTTCTGAGGCTGTGGATTTGTTGAGGTACAGCACATGAAGGAGAAGGGGGCAGGCAGTTGATGAGACGTCTCGTCCTCAGTATACATACTGCCCAGAAAGGATTGCAGGAGCCTCTTCAGGAAGGGACAGCCCCTGACACTGAGCCTCGCACATTTCATTATTTCACCTTTCAGTCATAAGCAGTTGTGCTGCCTGAAGGTTCCTGTGGTGTGGTTTTTTTAGTGAAAGGACATTGAGCCTTTGAGTCAGGGGTCAGGAGTTTCTTTTCTGCAATTTATTATGAAAGAGCTGTTGAACTTCGGGGGCAGTCTCTTAGTCTTTCTGAACCTGTTTTATAATCTGAAAATCAGGGGATGTATGTATTCTATCTATGTCAGGAATAGTTTATTAAGATCACAGACCAAAATAGAAAACACTTTTAAAAGAGGATTGTCCAAGAGAAGGGCATTATGCAGAAGCAGTGGCCCCAATGGTGACAGCAGGAGCTGAACAAAGTTTCTCTGTTGCAAAGGTTCAGGGAGCAGCCGCCTGCATCTGGGAAGGAAGTCCAGAGAAAAGAGGCTTGAGGTGCCCCATCCTGGGAACAGGAATGTTCTTATGGGGACAGCCCTCATGTATTCCGTAACATGAAATAACATAATCAGTGAAAACCTAGGATATTTCATATAACCCGTCATATAACTTTTGACTCCCCTAAAACTAATAATAGCCTACTGTTATTAGAGCCTTACCTATAACATAAACAGTCAATTAACACATATTTTATGTATTATTTGTATTATATACTATATTCTTATAATAAAGTAAGCTAGAGAAAAGAAAATATTAAGAAATTCTTAATGTTAGAAATTGTAAAGAAAATGTTATTAAGAGAGTTATTAAGAAAATCATAAGGAAGAGAAAATATATTTACTCTTAAGTGGAAGTGGATCATCATAAAGGTCTTCATCCTCATCATCTTCACATTGAGAAAGCTGAGGAAGAGGAGGATTTGTTCTTGCTGTCTCAGGGGTGGCAGAGGTGGAAGAGGTGGAGGAGGTGGAAGGGGAGACAGGAGAGGTGGGCACGCTCAGTGTAACTTTTATTGAAAAGTATATGTGTATAAGTGGACCTAAGCAGTTCAAACCTGCATTGTTCAAGAGTCAACTGTTAATAGATACAGTCAGAAAATTGAACATCAACTCTTGTCTAAACCTCTGAATGCTGTAATGTGGGAAAACTTACTCTTGTGGGTTCTCACAACGGTTTTGGAAGCCAGGTAGTTTCCTTTCGTATGGAAATGCTGCAGAGGTTAGGACAAATGTCAGATATTTGGAGCTCCTTTTAAGGGGATCAGGTCATTACCTGCAGGCAGGGTATTAATGTCATGGCCACTCCGTGGGAGTATGTGGGCCATAAAACGAGTTTACTTTTTCCCATAAGTAAATTCTATCTTCCATGTAGAGCATAAATAATATCTTCTTAGAAAGGTAGATTTGCCCCATGGCAAATCTTCTATGTGTTTGTCTTTTCAAACTGCAGATCTGTTAAATATTTTTGAAAATAAATCGATCTTTACAGATAATTTCATTCTTGATCTGCACACTGAAATAGCGTTTCCAGTCTAATGAGTGTTTTTCCTTACAGGATCAGCCTTTACAACATCTGACAATTTGTCTCTCAGCTCCTGGGTATCATCTTCTTCCAATTTTCCTGGGTTTCAGCACCCACAGTCCCTGACTGCTCTTGGCACCAGCACAGCGTCCATAGCAACACCCATTCCTCACCCCATACAGGGTTCTCTGCCACCATATAGCCGGCTGGGGATGCCTCTGACCCCATCGGCCATCGCCAGCTCCATGCAAGGGAGTGGCCCTACGTTCCCTTCATTCCACATGCCAAGATACCATCACTACTTTCAGCAGGGGCCCTACGCTGCCATCCAGGGACTGCGCCATTCCTCTGCTGTGATGACGCCATTTGTATGACTCTTCAAAAAATGGGAGAATCCAGATCCAGAATGCGCAAATGGGTATGGAAATATAGGACAGGGTTGGGAGGGTGGGATGTGGGGTATTGGAGCAGGGGCTTTCCAGGAGACATGGAACCTGTTAAAGAGGAGAGATGGACTCACAATAAAATCTACTGCTAAGGGAATGCACCATGGATCAAGATTCATCTGTAGCTGGGGGACAGCTCTTGGGTTCAGGAGAGAATCAATGTAAAGTTCACAGCCAGCCTGAAAGTTTAATAATACGAGGCAGATGAATCCTAAGGTGCATTATTCCTGGTGGTTAAAAATGCTGTGTCGATACAGTAATGTATAAAATCAATGTGTATAGGGTTTCTTTCTGCTTTCCACAGGTTAAAAGAATCTTCAAAGAGGCAATATTATATAGCATACTGATCATAATGACTAACTTAAGTCAATTTCTCCCTGTAGAAAATGGAAGCCAATAGAGAAATATTTGTAGTGCAGTAGCTTAAGCATGTTTAGTTTTCCTTTGTGTTAGTTCGCTGGGGAAGGTGCTGAGATAATGCTAATGCATCCTGTTCTGCAGATGAATACATGGTAATGACTTCACAAAGTTCTTTTTGTAATATTGAAGGGCCAATACCCAACAGGCTCTGTTTTTACAGTCTTGTGTCCTTTCTTTCTAATTCTCTTTCTTGCAGCTACTTGCCATTTATGTAGGAAAAAATCTTCCACATACAATTTTGAAGAACCTCTCTATGTTACATTGTAAAACTGAGGTTTAATTTTTATGGGCTGCATTCTATATACTACTGATTTATTCACTGAGGAACACTCCAAAGCCTCTGCCTGATGGTATGTGAGGCTTTCTTTCACTTGCAGCTGCAATAGAAAGATGGTTGTCCTATTGTGAAGGGAATCTCTGCCGTGGGTGCCAAAGACTCCTTCATTTTCACTTCAGCTTTGGGAGACCTTATGGATGTTAAAATGCACTGGGCCAAATTCTCATTTTTGGTGAATCTGCTTTGTTATGCTGCCACCGATTGACAGGGATTTGAGAATGACCATTCTAAATGCCTATGTAGCCACATTTAAGCTGTGCTCCTGAGGAGTAAAATGTGCCCATACCTCTGATTTGTCCTTTTTTCTTATTGTGTTATATTCATTGACCCCATTACCATTTTTCTATACTATGAAATTGCACATTAACTCAGTGACTCCCTGACAGAAATGTTGACAGTTCTTATAAGTAAATCTAAAGCATTCATCCATGTTATTTTGAACTCTTGCTATCTTCTTAAGCCTTCCTTTAATGTTTATAAT